TGTGCACAATGTCGAAACGCAAGGATCCAAACAAGCCCAAAGGAAAGTTGAGCGCCTACAATTGTTTTGTTAGGGAGGAAAGAGAAGCTATGAAGAAATCAGAAGCAGAAGCGCCTGCCAACGACGCCGAAATCCAAGAAAAAACACCGGGAACTATGGCACAGCAAGTGTTTATGGTAGCCTGTGCTGAGAAGTGGAAGAAGCTAAGCGAAGAGGAAAGGCAACGTTTTAAAGAGGCTGCAGAGAAGGACAAGATAAGGTACGAGAACGAAATGGCAAACTATACACCGCCGAAGACCGAAGCTAGTGGAAGGAAGACTCGAAAAGAGAAGAAGATGAAAGACCCGAATGAACCTAAGAGAGTAGTGTAAGTCAAATTCGTTCTTTAAAGTTGTAGCTATCGTGAGAAAATATTGAGATAGCACTAAACACGGATTTAAAACGCTGTAGAAAGAAGTCAAAAGTTTGAAATTATATAGAGTTTAATAGTTAAGCTTAAACTTTGAAAGTGTAAGTCCCTGCGAGCAGAAGCCTTCTTCGATCTTCCGAGAAAGATCGAAAGACTCTGCTCGCTGGGTAGTCTTCCAGTATCGCCAGACGAAGAAACATATGTTGGTAGGAAGCCTCGTGAATGTTATAATCTTAGTTTAAGCGAATAAATCGTATTTTTCCCACATATTTCAATGAAGACGCCATGTTTAATTCAGAATATTATTTTCGATAAAACAGCCTTGTTAATTTTTTTTTTGACATTTCTCCTTTTAAGTTCAAAATTTCGTGCCATTGAATTTCTTTTCTAGGTCTTCCTTCATGTTCTTCAGCAAAGACATACGCGCCAAAATGAAAGAAGAAAATCCACAGACGGCAGTTTCTGCCAAGGTGCTGGGAGAGATGTGGGCGAAAATGGAGGAGAAACAGAAAGAAAAGTACGAACAAATGGCAAAAGAAGATCGAGAAAGATATCACGAGGAGATGAGAGCTTTTAGGAAAGGGGACTATGTAGTTCCTAGTACAAGTCAAGTGGCAATGGAAGCAGAAGAATGATCAACAACCTGCTGGAAATATATTTTCTTGCAGTGTTACTCAAGCGCGTCGTTGTTTTAGGAATATTTTTAACGACTGAGGACAATTAAGACTCGATTGTTGATTTT